AATAATGTTTTCATGAATATTACCAGTGTAGATTTGTCGTTATATGTCAGTGTATGCTTTAATTTATTTTTCCCTTCTGTCCAAAATATTTTTTTTTTTGAATGACTCTAAGATATTCAAACAAATATTTGTAGTTTTAAATGATAGGGACAAAATTTGAAGTGATGCTTTAAGTTTTTCATTCAATATTCTGACTACCAATAGTAATTTCTCATGTGAATAAATTGGATCGCATAAAAATTAAATTTAAAAACAGCGTTATGCTAATTGTTTCTAGTTTTTCTTCTTCATACTCTTCAATGTGGTAGTTTTGAAATACCGTTACTTATGCGGAGAAAGTAGTCAACGTATGTATGCTTGCTAATTTTGTTTATTCTTTTTAAATCAAAGTAAGCTTGCAAAGCTGTCATGCATTTAGTTTCCTCTTGTCAATCATGCTGACTAAGTTTAAATATTTTGGAAATCTAACAAAAGAATAATTGATTTATAAAATGGAAAATAAACTCACATAAACTTTCTTCACGTTTTTCAGGTAACCTTTTATTTCATCTCTTTTATCAATAAAAGCTTTTAACATGTTTCAAGTTCAATTTCGATATAGTAAAAAAACTTTTTGCTTCCAATCTTGAATATCATCGTAAAAGATTGACAAATTTGTTTAATTTCACATTTATGACATTATTTGATGAGCTACTGAGATCATATGTCTTCTAAAGTAGCAAATTACTTTCAACTTAATAATTAATGCAGTGGTATTTTATAATAGAATGCTCAAGTTTTTGGTATAACTGTATGATTGTTACGATAACTTTCAACAGAAATATTTCACAGAGCAGTATCTTCTCATTTGACGGAAAAAAATTTGACTCAAAAGTTCTACTCAGATTACAAAATATAATCATCAAAATGTGCATTTCAAAAAAGACATTTTGCAATATAATATGCAAATTGTATTTTTCAATGCAGTTATTGAAATAATTGTATTAAATTGTTAGAATTATGAAAATAAGAAACAAATAAAATTGTAGAAATAGTTGATAACATGTTAAATTTATATATAGTAAGGACAACAATAACAGTAAGTGGCATTAGTAACTGTGCTATCAACATTTTGTCGTAAGATAGCGTGCATAGTAACAGATTTAATAATTAGATCAGAAATAATACTTGTAAAACATACTGAAATTGAGATGACACAAAAAATTAGGAAAGAAGAGACTTATAGCAGCAGGAAATTAAAAATCAGCAATCGATTTTAAAGTTTTTTAAAGTCACAGAAGATTGTGATTTAAGTAAATCTGCTTATTTTTCTCTACTGCAAATTAAATCATGCCAATTAAAGCATCAAAATAAGTTGATTTTTTTAATTTAGTTAAAAGTGCACCTCTAATTTAGAATTATCCATATCAGTGTTTTGATTTATCATATTTTATTGGAATTTATCATATTTTCGAGATTATCAGAATCAGCATAAAAAGTTGAAAATTGTAGGTGGAGTTCTGATACACGTAATTTATAATTAGATAGCATTTTCTTAGTGATCAAAATAATAAGAATATTTCTTATTACTAAGAAAATGTGTACGCGCATAACTGAAAGAAAAAAACTTGCTAACTTAATCACAGAGTTTAATTTATGATTGACAAAAATTAGCACTATGTTTATGTTTTAATTCCGTACAAGGAATACAAAATCATATTTTTAATGCCTTGAGATTACAACAGCAAACTAATATAATCATGGTTTCAATAAGAATGTTTTTCAGAAATGCAAATGAGGAACTATGTTTAAATTACTAGACTGTTTTATATTTAAGCATAATTATCTCATCAGTTGTTGACAAGATGTGCTTCAAACTGACATTCAGGATGGTATTTCATTCCGTATTGATTTCTATGCTTATTAAACTTTGCTTACTGAATTTAAATCTAGTAAAGTTTAAAGTTTATGACAGGAAAGGTGAAGCAGAATTCCACACAAGCTACGCTGTATCAATAAAATGTTAGAATCTATAGTGTGAGAAATCAAAGTTAGAAATCTATAGTTTTAATTTACTTTATTTCCCTTCTTACTTTCATATATAAAAATAGGAGATCAATGAGTAGAAGACAAAAAGTTGTTGACATGAAACCAGATGTGATGCTTTCAATAAGATTTTAAATCTAGTGCTCGTTTCCATAGCAAAAACAACCCAATTGAGAATAATAAGTTGAGATAATACAATAAGTAAACCACAAAAATGAAATTAAAAAATGGTGTTAAGGATGAAATTAGTAATAGAGATGCTTTCTCGAGCTTCGACTTATAATGTCTTCTGTTCTTATCAAGCAAATTTTTAAGGCATAATTAGATCGGTCAGGATTAAATTAGCAATAATGTGATGAAGGTGAACCAATCAATAAACTAAAACACATGGCGATGTCAGCATCAAGTAGTTCTGAAGAGGCGAATCCAGTTTATAGGCAAGATTTCTTCTCTCAAAGCTTAGTGTAATGTTAAACAAATTATTGCTCTTTTGAATAACGCATTTCAAGTATGCTGCTTACAGTGATATCTTGTATTTATTTCTTTGAAAATTACTGCTGCATTTCTTCTAAACATCCCCTGCATACTTTTTTTCTTTGATTCAGCTCTCTTCCCTAACTTGTAACTTTTGAATCAGTACTAATATACAACAATATTTGTATACCTCGAAATAACTATTCTTTATAATTTATACAGTTAATTTCATATAAGGAAAATATAGGTGCATTAGTCTACATTGTTTCTAAACTTAAGTCATCCTTTCTTCTCTAAATGAACACTGCAACTAAAATGCAAACACAAAAATGAACGATTAGCCTAATTATTCTAAACAGCTGATTACCATCAGTGAGTAATTCAAAAAGCATTTTTTAACTCTTAAATAGAAAGCAGACTATTTTTATACTTCACATCTTTATAGTAAATTGCCGTTAATATACGCAAATACTGCATCACGTGTTGAAATAACAAACTTTTCTCGCTCTACTTTCAATAAACATGGGCATAATTATTGCTTACGTTGATTTTCTTATTTAACTGCCAGCACAATTTATTTTTCATGTCTTTGATTTCTTTACTTTAATATCACTTTTTCTGAATTGGATGAAGAAACTTGATGCAAAGGAAATTAAAATCTTTTGAAAATGGTAATTACAAATGATACATATCACGCCAAATCCCAAGTAATGGTACGGGCTGCGCATATATTAACGATAAAAGTAATCCTTGTCATCATGATTTCTTATCACAGTCACGATAATAGCTCCTTAAAAGGTGAAAAAAAAAAAGCATTACAATTAAACTTCTTTAGTTCCTTTTTATTTTTCTTTAAATTTTACTATGAATAATTATATTGTTGCGCATTGCACTGTTTTCATCGCAGGAACATAACATAAGAAAAAGGGTCTTTTTACTCATTTTTATCATTTTTAATGTAAAAATTTCTTAGATAATTTTCAAAATGTGTTATATCTTAACGGAAAATTAACTTCTTTTAATTGATACACGTATAAAAATTTTCAAAGATGCTTTGGAACGATCTCTACAATACATCATTTTGGTTTAATAGTAAATTATGATTTTAGCACCACTTGTTTATCAAATAATAATGGTTAATAATATTTTTAGGTTGTCATCAGTGAGATGGATTTTTGCTTAGGTTGTGTTTTATAGCAGAACAAACAATGTAGAATTCCGTACTTTGTTGTATCTGTCAAAATCTGACAAAGTAATCGAATTTCTTGCGCGGCACAAAATTGCACTTGGTTATTGTTTATACTAATCACAGAAAATTCCTCTCAACATTTGAAAGAAAAATAATTCTAATTAGTCAAATATGTTCAAATATTCTTGAAATTTCACTGGTTAATTTCGTGGAATTCATTTATCAACAATTTCCTTTCGTAAAAATAAGTCTGATTGCACATTTGTATTAGATGTTCATACAAACAAAGAATAGAGTTAATGTCTGAAATGCTCTAGAGCAATCTAATTTAAAGCAAAGGCAGCATTCTTTTTAAGCTATCTCTTTTCATTGGACTTTGTAAGTTGCACAGTAAAAAATTATATTTTTACATTAGCTTAACACTGAAAATCATTCCTGCCTTACTAATTCTGCTCAGAATCATTGATTGATCCGTTCGTACCAATTATCATCAGGAAAGAATAAAAATAATTCTACTAATTACAATATAGAAGTCGCGTTCGTTCAAATACTTGCTCAGAAAAAAGGATCAGCTAGAAAAAGTAAGAAGAAATAAATTTGAAAAGAAAGCAGCGATTATGAAAATGCTATCGATAACATAACGGTTTTAGTTGCTTGATTCATTACCTTCAACTAACGTTCCACTGTTGTGATGTCCTAGGAGGGATATTTAAAAGTTGTTCAGCTATAAATCCAAGCAGGAAGAAGAAATAGCTGAATCGTTGAATTGATTTTCCCTCAGTTCTTCCTTGCTGCAGATAGATTAGATAACATAAGTAATTGATACCCAACAAATATAAACGACTCAGAAAGAAATTACATTCTAGTTTCTGTTAAAATCCTTCTCAAGTTCTTCACTCAAACAAATGGACCCATTAATGGTCAACATAACGGTTTTAGTTGCTTGATTCATTACCTTCAACTAACGTTCCACTGTTGTGATGTCCTTAACTTATCCACTGCAAAATTATGCAACCAGCTGTAATTCATGTAGTCTTTATGAGCTTTCCTTTGTTTTGAGCTCGTAAAAAAATGATTCTCGATATTACTTTTAGGCTCGGTAATAATTCAAACCATCAAATAGTCAAAAATACTGAAACCCCAGTACGTCTAATTATTTTCAGAAACCACTGAATCTATCTCGATCGGTTTTGGCTCTGTCGGTAGTTCAAAACAACTAATCATAAGCAACTAGTTTCTATGAGCTACTGCGGATCATTTGGTCCAAATGTTCTAAGATTGGAGTTTTGGACAACTTTAAATTTTAGACGTAATGTCATTTGACCTAACGGCACCATTTCAAGCAGAATTTCGTACACGCGATCAAATCGAACACCGCCACAAAGTTCATCCTGTTCAGATTTTCGCTCCTCTTTCTTCTCAACCGAATCGTTACAAATTTTTGGAAAATTCACTGACTTCAGTGCTTGGACATTCATCAATCTCTAATAAAAAGATACTTGCTTAAAAATGACGTTCATAATCTGTAGTAAATTATATACTGCAGACAGAAATTAATGGAACTTTACCACTTTTAAATACAAATTTCGACGTATTATACATGTTTTATTCTTTCTGAAAAGTACATAAATTTCTTATCCAAAATACCTTTTCAGATTGTAATAATTAGCATAGCAGGGGCATTTCGGAAAGGAAAAAGTTTCTTGCTGAATGTATTTCTCGATTATCTTTACAGTCTTCAAAAATCTCAACAGGTATTTCATTAAAGGTATATGAGCTTAAGCAGAATTTTGAAAACTTGGAATACATTCTTTTAATGCCAATCTGTTTCATCAGAATAACAAAAGTTTGGAATGGCTTTTGGATGATTCACAACTGCAAGGTTTCCATTGGAAACCAGGGGTGAAACGTGATACTACAGGAATATGGATCTGGGGTGAACCAATAATGATTGAAGCAGGAGATGGCGAAACGTATGCTGTTGTGTTGGTTCGTTGAAATGTGGATTTTATCTGTTTTTGAAATGTGGATTTTTTATCGGTTTTTTATCGGTTCATATTTGTTTTTGTATAAAATTCAGTCTTCATTCGTAGCCCTCAATTTTTTGATGGTTCAAAATTTCAGATTTCTGATGAATAATCATAAAATTCATATAGTCACTTCTGTCCAATTATTTATTTTAAGATTAGAAAACCCAATTCCAGTAACATATTTACACCTTGTAGTCGCTGTATTTTGATGCTGAGTTGGAATGAAAAATACTGAATTTGAAATTTCTCAGATGGATACTCAAGGAACGACCGATAGTTTAACCTCACCATATCAAATGTCGAATACTGTGCTAGCACTCTCAACTCTTCTTAGTTCGGTCCAAATTTACAATATATTTGAAGCAATACATGAGGATTCTTTAGCAAATTTATCACTTCTCATTGAGTACGGAAGATTGATAATGAATGAACCAATATACTCCAAACCACCACTTCAGGTTCTTAAAAATTTTTCAAAGAGAGCTCTTTAATATCGTTAATGATACCACCTTTAATTGAGTGATGAGCACAAATCTAATTCTCAAGTTTTAGACAATTGCATTTGTTGTTCGAGATTTTAAACCACTTTCTGACGAATGCTCGTATGGATATGAAGGTGGTATGGACTATTTGAAAGGAGCTTTGGAAACATTATCTCATCAGGTCTATCTAATTTTTTCAAACAGAACTATCAATCAGATACTGCTGCTCAGTTCTCGTTCTCCTCTGTAGCTGGTACTTTCTGTAAGATATGGTAAAAAATGTCAAAGAACGGAATTTTTCCAACAGTTAACAATATATATGGGTATTCTACAACTTCTATATCTTCAAATTTTCAGTCAAATAGGTTGAAGATTATTGAAGAGAACATCTGGAACTGCTTTGAACAAACATTATGTTTTTTATTACCTCATCCTGGTCATCGTGTAGCAGATCGTGAATCTTTCAGAGGATATGTGAAAGGTTAATGTTATCAATTTTTGATGAGGACCCCCTATCTCTTTTCAAAGTCGATAAAAATAAGTTTTTGTAAGAAAAAGAACAAAAGTGAAAAGATTTTATTGAAAATCTGCAACCAACAGAGATGAAACCATTGTTCAAAGAAGAAGTGAAGAAAATGACAACACACCTACTGAATCCTCGGGCACTGAAACCAAAAATTGTTAATGGAAAAATGGTGACTTGTAAGAAAATCATGGACGTATTCAGAGTATGTTTACTTTTAATTGTTCTGAATGATATATTGTTAAATAACACATTCAGAAAGAGATAAAATGAACATTTCATATGACGACAGGTACATCAGTAAAAAGTAGAATTATAAATGAGTAGATTGTGAAGATAGATTGAACTGTTTTTCTTCTTTAGGAATTTGCTAAAACACTTGATAGTTGCATTATACCTGATCCTCAATTAATTGTTGATACAAATGCTCAGCTGAATTTTATGGAGGCATCAAGTGAAGCAAGAAATGCGTATATCAAAGGAATGGATCGAGTAATACATTTCAAATTTTGCGACTTTGAATTAAATTCAAAATAGTAAACCCCTGCACTAATTCAAGATCATAATTTCAAAATTTCTGAAAATATATCCTTTTTCTGCATGCTTTCTCAGATCATTCTCACCTATTCATTATGTAATTTATTTCCTAAGAGCTCAGAATTCTTTAGGCATAATCTACATATAAATATGCGCCTAAACATTTCCAAATTCAAGATCCACATTAAAGGTTTGCGCTGAATCAGGAATGTTACCTGAAAAACGACTACATGAAGCTCATATTAAATATGGTATCATTGCTCTAAACATCTTTGAAAAGTATCCGAAGACCGGAAGTAATGAAGTTCGTTCTCGGAATCTCTCAATGCTGCAACAAGACTTGAATGTAAATATTAATGAAGTGAAAATTAAGAAAAAAAAACATTTTATCCTCATCCATCTTATCTTTCGAGTGTGAAAGTAAGTCAGTGTAATGATTGCTTTCCAGAGTAAAACAAAATTTATGAAAAAGGATTCTTTACAGAGCGAACTGGAAAAATATAAACGGTTAAATAAGGAGAAAAGGGTCACGAGTTGCGCATCTGGCATGATTGCGTGTGGTGACTCTGTACTATTAGGTAGGTAATTGTTTGCCTTTCTAATTTCCATCAATATTCCCCAAAATATCAATTCAGTTGATATATATAAGAAAAGAAAATATAGAGGTCAGCCTTCTCCCTTTATTGATTCTGGCGTTAGATCGTTTTCTGGCACTCTGATTGTGCCTGTCCCGCGCTCAAATTTATTGTACTGATGCTTTAACCTCTCTTTTGCTTTCACCCCGTGGAATCCATGGCGCTGATCAAATGAGATATTTTCGGGCGTTTTCTTGAGTACTATCCATTGGATATATGCCTCGACGTGACCAAATATACTGATTTCCTTCACGTAACGTTTGTGGAAGTTCCCTATCACATCCCAAGTCATCACATACGGAATTATTTTCGATCTGCATTTCATCTCTGACCCAAGCTTATTAACCAGTAAATCATATTCCGTTTTTTCTCGGTCTCGACTGCTATTAATCTGTCCTGACTAGTGATGCCAATTTTTATCAGGAGTATAGTCGTCATGTAACACTCGCATCGCTCTTCATCACGCACCTCTAGTTTATTTCTTACCCGCGTATCGGCTGCTCTCATTAGCGACAATTTCCTGAACGGACTGGCTCCGTATGCGTGATAATGCTTTTAGATCATACTTTTTGAACAGTCCTAAATGGATACATCGCAGAACCTCATTATGTCTTTTAGTACAGTCGTCATATAACATTTTCTCGCACTGCGTTGCTAGATGGTCCATCGGCTTCACACGTTCTCTCTAATATTCACTTCTTAATGACGAAGTTGTAAATTCCATCAGGGCTCGCCGCCTTTCATTGGGCAAACAATAAACTGTCTTCCGAATTCGGCTTCAGATAAGAAAGTATCATGGAACGAAATCTTCCAGATATTCATTGTGCCGAATGTCATCATCGTTTCCCACTTTCGAGTTCCACATCGTACCCCAAAATCCTTCATTTCTTCTATCGACATTGTTGCCAACAGGTTGTTCTTCGG